AAAAAAAAAAATACTGGTTTATCCTTTCAGTGATTAAAATAACCTTTTGCAAGTTGTTTAACCACTTAACTTCCAATTCGATTTTCTGAACAAATGCAATGTAGCATTGTGCTTATCTGCATGGAATACCAGCATTTTAAACCATATAGGAACTTTGCAATTAAAGGTCTTTCTTAGAAATCAGAGAGACTTAATTTTTAAGATCTTGTTCGTGCAAATCATGTAAATCCAACATGTCTAATGCCAAGGAATTTATGAAGTGATGGAGAGCATCATATACTCTCTTCAATTTGTTAGCTAAAAAAAAACTTTGGGGAAAAAAAAAGATAAATAAATTAAAAAAAACAGCAATTAACAAATAATTTCACAAAATGTATCTCTAAGAATTATTCGAAGAATTAATAAAGTCGCACCGAAATATTCTGCATATTCCCAAACTTGAATTAGTCACAGTGAGAAAACAAATGATTTTATTACATTGTTTTTACATTTTTAATCGGCTGGATTGAGGATATTGAAATTGCTGTCAAATTCTCTGATATTAAGGCAGCACCAGCATGTGATAAATTCTCCACCATTTCCTCTCCATTTACAGGTTATTTCAAAGCGTGCATTCAAGCTATATTGTAACATTGCTCCAAGCTCTCTCCAGGAAGAGACACGGAGAATGAAATGTGCCTTCCTTGACATTTTCAGTTGTAGGAGCCGATCAGTAGTTTTACTATTACAGCGATTTATTCACTAAACGTACTGCTGTGCCATTTGTAATATTTTGATAACACAATACCACAAGCTAACAGGAGTCAGTAAGCAGCCGCTGTATATCACCAATCTTAGAAAAGTAATATCTACTAGACTATTTTACAGATTTTTTGAGAGTTTTTTTTTTTTAATCTTATATCTGACCAGTAAAAATGCACCTGAATTTAACTCTTTGAGTAACAGAAAGAGAAGTTCAATAATGAAAGAGCTAAATTTAGGGAAACATTTTTATATTTTTCAGCTCCGTGGTACTTGTCATATATAGGATTTCATACCTCCCTATTGTTTTATAGCCAGCAAAAATATCCAAATTTATATTTCAGTATTTATGAATTGAAATATAAGTGCATATTTGAGCAAGCTTGTGATTTTTTTTATGGTGTTTAAAAGAACAGTTCAAATACTTAAAGCTTTTTCACTTGCTGAAGTGCTTTACGTGTGAAGACTGTGTCCTCTTTATTTTATTTTGCAAAAAGTGAAAATTTGGTTTTCAAAATTGGCACTTCTATAGATGTATTTGGTTACCCCTCTGGCTGTCAAATCGGACAACTGGTCCTGCTACTTCCTGGTTTGTTTAGCTCAGTGCAGCTAAACTCAAGAGGCAACAATTGACCAAATCACCTGCCTTGCAAAGGCTTCTCATCGGGTTGCATTGGAAAAGTCTGTAATTGGACAGCCACAGAAAGTCTGGGCTGGGTAAAAAGGGAGGGCTTGCAAAGGCTGCAGACAAGAGATCTACAGCCATTACAAACTGGTTCTAAATATACCCTCAATAAAAATAATGCATAATTAAATGCATGCCTGTCTTCATAAGGGTTATATCTACCAAACAGTGATTTTTTAAATTTATTTTATTATTATTATTTGGGCAGTGAAATGTCCCTTTACATCTTTTGCACATGCACAGCCCTATCCTGTCATCTTGGTTTGCATGTGTCCTGTACATTTGCTTCATGATCATTCCAGGACTTATCGGAATCACTATTAAGTGGCCTTAAATAATTCTAATTATTGTTATCATTTATCATATTTTTTAGCAAAGTGCACAACATGTCCATCGCATAATTTGGAGTTTGTCTGATTTTCATCTTTAGATGCATTACATTCATGTTTAGGGTAATAATTCAAGAACCCTTATATTTTATTTGCTATGATCATATTCTGATCAACTAGGTCTGAATGATTTGCAGTTTTTACCAGTTAAAGAGCAACTTAAAGTTGCAATGGATTTACAACTATTCCAAGATAGAACCCAGGAACACATTCAGAGAAGTCTTTAGAATATTGTACATTGAGCATGCTGAGAAAACCCACTAAGATTCGATAAATAATTGTACTCTACTAAATCTTAGTAAATACCCGATGTTACAACCATATCTACAGACAACATGAACAATCTAGTATAGTGAATAAGCCCCTGTGTATAACTCTCATATAAAATGACTATTAACCCCTTAAGGACACGACATGTGTGACATGTCATGATTCCCTTTTATTCCAGAAGTTTGGTCCTTAAGGGGTTAAAGGATCACCCCAAAAGCCATACCCACTATAGCTCATTGTAGTTATGGTGCTGCGAAGATATGAGTGCAGTTTCTCCTCATTCCCTATAGTGAAGGACTATAGGCACTGCGGTATAGGAGGATTTGTGCAAGCTGGATGCCCTTAACTGCTTTGACGCAGCCAAATCACTGTTAACTGTTTATTGAACTGAACTGACACATGAGGCTAATATCAGTTTGATATTTTTTCACTGATGATTATTATTTTTTACATTTTCTATCACACATATCTGCAACACTTTTTAAACACATAGTACACATGTAGGTTTGAAAACGGTTTTGCAAGACGATATCATTGCATCAATTTTGCAACATAAACCTTAGTTACAAACTACCTAGTTGGTCTTGTGCATATTTTATTGCCAGTTTTGTGGCTCTAAAAAATCACCAAGGATTTAGACATGCCAAAAGGGCTGCGGGCAAAAAGCGTAGCCCATTCCTCCTATATTGCAAGTCTTATAGCCACTCACAGCACGAAAAATATAACTCAAAATGAAAATTATGAAGTGAACTTGAATCATTATGGCGTCACAGGCTTAGTATGTGGAGTATGTGGAATATCAGAGAATCCTTCAATTTTTACCAAACTGCTTAAAATGGGGTTGACAATAAACTGAGGGACTGCAATCATTGACTCCAAGAACCATATCCACTGCAACAGCCTGCATTGGTTATAGTACTTAGAGTGACTATCCGTAATTACTAAGCACATGCACATAGGTTTTGCTTTATCACTTTATTATTTGATTTAGTGCTTGTTTGTTTATTTCATTATTTCATTATTTATTTTTTTGTTTGCCTTATTTATCTGTACAGCATTAGAGAACATCAGGCGTAACAACAAAATGTGTATATTTCTCATTACTATGCCGGATTGCTATTGTTAAGTGTTTCAAATAAATATGAGATATAAACAAATCTACATGGATTTTTTCTTATTCCTAAAATACTACTAATTAATGACTGTGTATAAAGATATCTGAAATATATTACTAGAATCCATCACTCGCCATGCAGCTGTCAGTATAGTGCACTTCTGACCCCATTCGAGAATGTAAACCTTTTTCAGTGTTCTATATAAGTGGGGTATTCTGAAGAGCTGTTTTGACATATACAAGTGAGACAGCAGGTTCAATGTGTCCAAGCATACTGTCAAGTCTAATCAAAGGATACCTTCTGTAGGGGCCTTGCATTCAGCACCTGTTAAGTCAAAATACGTAGCAATGTACAGTAGCACGTTGTGATTGGCTAATGGTGTTGATGTGCAGTCCTTGAATGGAAAATATGCAGTTAGTTTAGACATGTGTCCAACGGACTGTGTTCTGTTTGGTACATGAGCTGTTAAATATGTTCATGGTAAATTAGAGCTGTTAATCCCAAAATTTCTATTTATTCTTTTCTTTTTTTCTTTTTGAAAAATAATATCTATCTAGCTGTAATAATCACATGTTTAAAACAATAATTCCGCATTAATTATTATACCAAAGCACAATCTGAAGGTCGGAATGTTACATTTAATTTTTTTAATGTTTCATGTTAACATCATGTTTGATTACAGTGGGTTTCACTAAATTTGGGGAATTGTAGAGAACTGACAAAGGAATTATTTTGTCAGTTCACTATAATTCTTAATTTGGTTAATAAACCCCATCAGCATTTTTCTCCGGATCATATGTTTTGCCATTTGTAAACACTCTAAGCACCATAACCACAACAGCACATTCCAATGGTTAAGGTGTAAAGAGTACCATAGCACCCCCATTGTTAGTAGTGAAAACATTTTATTTAGGACTTGCCAGGTGCCGCTTTCCACCTCAACTACTTACAACCGAGAACACTTAGTGCAGTCCTGGACTGGCCATTGGGCAAACTGGGCAAGAGCAGCGCTGGCCCTGCTCTCCCTCACGGGCCCAGTGAAATCTGTAGAGAAGTGGGAGAGGAGGACCTGGGAGCTTTAACCTGCAGCTTCACCATGTCCTTAAAGTACGTATCTTGATGTCGGAGCATTGTTGCAGTTACAATGGCAATGCTCAGACCAGATCTTGCAAGAGTGAACGCTAGACCCAGTAGCTGCAGGTTAGAGTTCACTCCACACCTGACCACCAGGGCTTTACCACCAACAGGGCTTCACAAGCAATGCCCCCCCCCCCCTTCCCACTCCCCCGCCTGGGCCAAAGGTAAGAAGGGAGAAGGGATATAAAGTGTATTCATTTTTTTAAAATTAAATAAATAGATAAATTTG